ATCTATAGGAAAAATAAGTAGTTGTGTACAACCAAGTTCTAACTGACTCATAGGTAACCATCCAGCAGGTTTTAAAAGGCAGTAAATCACATGGGAGTTGACTGCCCGTCTTTCTCCTTTGGAGCAGCTGGCAGATACAATCCATCTGCTTTGGAGTTGACAGCACAGTTCCTTAAAATAAACCACTACGACTCCCTAGGAAAAATAATAGTAGGTATCAGAATTCTCATTTCAGAGTACAAATAGTTTAAAGTGAGATTCTCTTTTTAGGGGGCAAAGCATAGAGTTAGTTAAATTATTGTAGCTAAGAATTATAAACTGTGATGATGAAGATGATTCAAGTCATAAAATATTTAGTCCTACAGTTGCTGTGTCAGGAAGGATCTCAGTGATAGTACCTTGACAACAAATGAAAATATAGATAAGAAGGGAGGAATTATTACATTTTTCATATCTCTTAGTGAAATTTTTCTTATCATGATAGTCTTAAATTACTTACTCAATTTAAATTCTCTGTTTAAATTTGGTATTATGAATAGATTTTGCATGAGCACAATGAAATGTTTTGTAATTCACATTCTTTGCCATATAAGCCATCATTTTTTATTATTTACAGAGCCAAATACCTTTGCATAGTCAATAAAACACAAATAGATATCCTCTTAACATTCTTTTCTTTCGGCCAAGATTCATCTGACATCAGTAGTGATATCCCTTGTGTCATGACCTCTTATAAATCCAGCCTGAATTTCTGGCAATTTTCATTCAGTGTACTGTTCTACCTGTTTTCTTTCAATAATCTTCACCAAGATTTTTATTTGCATTTGAAATTAATGATACTGTTCATTAATTCCCACCTTCTATTGGATCATCTTTTTGGGGAATGGGAATAAACATGTAGTTCTTCCTGAATTTCTTTGCTTCTTGGAGGTAAGGATTTTGAAGCTCTGTTTCACATACTTTGGGTATATGGCCAGGAAGGATCAGTCCTTGGAGAAGGACATAATTCTTTGAAGGATAAACAGATATTAAGTTCAGGAGAGAAAGACCCTAGATGAGATGGATTACCACAGTACCTGGGGTAATGGAGGTAGGTGTGTCAGAGACAGAAAGACTGGCCTAGGATAAGGCAAAGCTCAGAGCTATTGTGCTTACGGTCACTATGAATCTTCAGTGACTTGATGGCACATAATAACAACAATAACAAATCACAATAGAGAAGACTACCAATCCTACCTATCTTTCTCCAGCACAGTGGCTGGTGGATCCAGACCACCAAAGAATTGTGGCTCTTGTGTTAACAGTGCAATTCCTTATAGACTAGGCCTCTAAAGCTCACTATGCAGTATGTAAGAGTGACAGAAGTAGCATATAGTGAATATGTTTGTACATGGGTGTGTGTGCACATGTGCATGCCATGTTGGTGTTGATTGCCATTGAGTTGAGCACGACTCATAGCGACCCTATGAACGAAAGACCTGAAGCCTTTCTGTAACTATCAACATTTTCAAAGTTCATAGAGTTTCCAGAGGCATGTTGTTTAGGAAGTGGATACCACTCCTGCTTCCAATGTGTGTGCCATATCCAAAGCAAACTCAGTACATAATAATTCAGTTTTAAGTAGTACACAATATTAGGTTTTGTTTTCTTTTCTCAATTTAAGCAAAATATTAAAATTGGATCATAAATTTTAAAAGGTATTTTTTAAAGAAGTTACTGGGTTTTCTTTGTTGTAATTATGTTCATTTTGAAACATGGAGTTGTATATCTTTTTGTAGTGTATGAAACAGTGAGTTGCGGCTTTTATCTCATGTTTCACTGTAAAAGGTATTCCAAATGCTTACAATCTTATTTCCTAGTCTTCCCTAATATATTTGTCTGCAGTATCTTTTCTTCTAACTTGTCATTCATTTCTTTGGTAGTAAAAGCAGTGACTTTTCTTCACTAGGAATAAAATTTGTCCTGATTCTTTTATTATTATACAAAATACACATTTCACAATTATGCAGATGACACAACCCTGCTTGCTGAAACTGAGGAGGACCTCATGCACTTGCTGCGAAGGGTCAAGGACTGCAGCCTTCAGTATGGACTGAGGCTCAATGTCAAGAAGACAAAGATTCTCACCACTGGACCAATTGACAGCGTCAGGATGGATGACGATGATAGAGATTTTTCACAGCTTCAGTTTGCTCGGCTCCACAGTCAACACTCTTGCCACCAGCAGTCAGGAAATCAAAAAGCGTATCGCGATGGGAAAGTCTGCTGTTAGGGACCTCTCTAAAGTACTCAGGAGCAACAGTGTCTCTCTGGAGACTAAGGTGCGCCTGATACAGGCCATGGTATTTACAATCGCTTGTTATGCATCAGAGAGTTGGACAATGACTAGGGAGGACAGAAGGAGAGTGGATGCTTTTGAGCTGTGGTGCTGGAGAAGGGTACTGAATGTACCCTGGACTGACAGGAAAACAAACAGATTTATCTTGGAGAGGATTAAACCAAGCTACTCCCTGAAGGCAAGGATTCTGGGGCTTCGTCTGACATACTTTGGACATGTTGCCAGGAGGGACGGGTCCTTGGAGAGGGACATCATGCTTGGGAGGGTTGAGGGACAACGTAGGAGGGGAAGACCCTCTATGAGATGGATTGATTCGGTGACTGGGGTAATCGGGATGGGTGTGTCAGAGGCGGTGCGGTTGGCACAGGATAGATCAGGGTTTAGGGCTGTTGTGCATAGGGTCGCTATGAGTCGGAAACGACTCGACGGCACATAACAACAACAACAACAGGTATTATAAAGGAGAATATAGAATAAATCGATGCCTTTGAGTTGTGGTGCTGGAGAAGAGTCTAAAACATACACCATAGACCTCTAAGAAAACAAATAGCTCTGTTTTGGAGAGGGTAAAACTAAATTTCTTATTGGAGGGTATGATTTTGAAGCTTTGTTTCACACACTTTGGGCTCTTGTCCTTGGTGTAGGACATCATGTTCAGAAGGGTGGAGGGACAAGAGGAGGAGAGGGAAAACCCTGGATGAGATGGATTGATACAGTAACTGGGGCATTACGGGTATGTGTGTTGGGGTCAGTGAGACTGGCTCAGGATAGGGCAGGATACAGAGCTGTTACATATAGGGTCACTGTGAGTCACAGGTGACTTGATGACACATAACAATAACAGCAACAACATTTTCTATGAATTAGTTGTGTTTCTTTAATTATTATATGATTATTATATGATTATTATAATTTGTTGACTTTTTTTTTTTTTTAGTTTTGGAAGATTTCATGATTATTTTGCTTTCACTCACTACAAGATGGCTCAAAATTTTCTAACCTCGGTCTCTATCTTAAATTCTCTTTTTTCTCCTTACTCCCTTTTTCAATGTATACCTACTTTCTCTCCCTGAACAGGGAGGAGGGAGACTTGGGCCTGTTATTTTGGCACTAGTCATTTTTTTAACGGCATAGAAAATTTTTTACTGACTCCAAGACTGTTAAAATTAAGTTCTTAGAACTGTTATTTGATATCATAAAGGTATGTGTAGTGGCAGATGTTTGTTTGGGGTTATGCTTTTATTTGCTTTTATTTCATGGAGTAGGGAATTACCCTTACAGGTTTCCATGTCAGAGAGTGAGAAGTCAAATGCTTTCCAAAGCATAGGCTGAGCTACTTTTAGAAGAGGCTCTTTTCTCTGGTCTCTCAGAGGCTCTACATTTTCAAAGCTTAGGGAAACCAAATCCTTTGTAAAAGATTTCTGGGTTTTGCTTCCTTTGCTGATGTCAGTACTGTTGCTATGGTGAAGAAATGAATGTCACATGGTACTGCTGGAAAAGTCAACACAGACGTTTTGCTCTTTAGCAAATAGTCTACTTCTCAACTTGTTTTTCATTAGTGTAGCCTCGCTGAAAATTGTCAGATGCAATATAAAAATGTTTTTTTCTGCAAGAGACTTTGGAATATAAGAATTTTTGGAGGTATACCTAAGCAACCCCTTCCAATAATTATTAAAGAGAAGGAAATCTATAATACCTCCTGTCAGCTAAAGCAAGCACTGCTAGCATACTCTGTAGGGAGCTTTGCTGTACTCAAAGGCCACATCATTTTCTCTCTGGTGGTTCAAATCCACCAAAAGCCCAGCAGGAGAAAGATAGACAGTCTCATCTTCTGTAGGTTACAGCCTTGGAAATCCAATGGAGGGTCTGCTATCAATCAGTTTCAACTAGGCGGTAATGATATCTTATGAGCAGAGGAAGAAATAAAACATGTTTTATAAACTCTTAGGTGTTATTTATATTCTCTGGATTTTTTTTTCTCTTTGAAATTTTTGTTCTTCCATTTTTATATCTGTTGTCACTGAGTCATTCAGTTGTACAGCACTGTTCTCCCTCTCTCTCTCAGACACTGGAAGATTTTAGTGCAAATTAATATTTTGTACTCTGAATTGGTGATATAATGTCTAACTTGTCAGGCTGCGAGCCACAAGGTCTGTGATTCAAGTCTGCCAGCCATTCTGAGTGAGAAACATACGCAGTTTCCTCCGTTAAATATTTATAAAGTGTCAGAAACAAAATGGAGGGGTCACTATATGTCAAAATTGACTCAGCCATGGAATTTTTAGTTTTTAATAATTAACCCATGATAGTCCATGAGAGAAAATACTTTGCCCAATTTATATGAGTTTCAGTAAATGGAGAAAGAACTAATGAATTAAAAAATTTAGAAAAGATAATACCTCTTATCTATTTTAAAATGTCCATTTCTGTTATTTGGTGGTATCCATCAAGTGGTTATAAAACAGTACTCTTTTATTAATTAGAAATATGTTTTTAGCTCTTGATTTTGATGTTAAAATTAAAGCTATAAAGTAAATACGTTTCAACCTCCTCGTCCACTGTTGATGTATTTGCTGGTTACATTTTTCTTATATTAAGAATATGTTTGCAAAGTATTTACATTTTTTTCTTTTCCATTTTCTTTCCATATTTTTCCCTTCAGTGGTACATCTAGTGATGAAATGTGCAATTTATACATTATGTATTACATGGAAGCTAAGCATGCAGTTTCATTCATGACCTGTACACATAATGTTGCCCCAGATATGTTCAGCACCATACCACCAGAGGCCAATATTCCGATTCCTGTGAAGTCTGATATGGTTATGATGCATGGTCATCACAAAGGTAAAACTGATGTTTATGTTAAAGTAATACATCATTTTGTATTTTATATATGCTTATTTATGTCATTTTACTACAATTTAAATATTTCAAATCATCTGTAATTGACTCCTTTGCAAATACATACATGCTCTCATTCCTTTTTTCTCTTATCTTATAGTCCCTTTATAATATAATAATAGTTTCAACTCCCTTGAAATAGTCAATGAGAAAAATCACAACCAATGATAAAAAGGATTCGTTTTGGGTCCAACTCATAAATATAGTCCGTTTTTCATTTAATTCCTATTTTTAGGTTTCCTCCACTTCATTCCTCCTATAACCAGTAATAACTTACACAATTTATGAATTTATGCACCATGTTCTAGAGCGTGTTATAATTTTCAAAGGAAAATGGTTATCTCTTATAGCAGCACTTTAAATTATATGCTTAATGGGCCTCTTTAAGCAAAGAATAATTCCTAAATCATGAGACACTTCAAGCCTTGCCTTTTTTATTTCATTCTCAAAAATTATTCTTTAAATGACTATTCATTTATAAAATCATCTTAGTGACTGCCCTTTTTTAGTTTAAAGTTATAAAACTCACACTTTTGTTTTATTGGATAAAGTATGCTAAGACTTTGCTGAGTCTTACAAGTGATCTTAAAATGCCAAAGAAGCTTCTTACCTCCTTCCGATGGAAATTTTATGAGTTTGTACTCAAGACATTTACTAAGGCCTTAAAATGCTTACACAATTAAATATGTACCTTAAATATTCTTAAGAACCACTAAATTAAAAATAAATATCAATACTTATAGTTTATAATGAGGCATGTTTAAATGTGTATGTTTACATTATTCAAAATCCTATAAATCAAAAATTTAATAAATTACACTGGGTTTATCTGTGTATATTGAAGTTAGATTATTTTTAGTATACATATTCTTGAAAATGTTGTTTTTGTGAAGCATAGATCCTGAATAATGTTTTTTATCTTCATGGCTTATTTCCAATAAGCTACTTAAAGTGTCTAATATATATTCCAAATTTATGCTTAGCTTCTTTGATCTTTTACAGAAACAGAGAACAAAGATAAGCCTTCTTTACTGCAGCAACCAAGACGAGAAGAGGAGGAAGTGTTAGACCAGGGTATGTATGTTTATTTCCATAACTAGGCCTAGAAAATTATTCATTATCCAAATAGACAGCCAAAGTTTAAAGTTATTGGGGTGTTTTATATCTTTATCAGCTCCTAGCACAGAATTGCTATATTTTTATATAATGCATAATTAATTAATAAATGGTCATTTACGGTTTTTAGCCCTGAAAGTAAAATTCATTAGTGTAATTTAATCTCATTAGATTTTTCTTTCCCTTATTTTAGTTCATTGAATATTATTATAGCTTTTATGTTTGGTACAGAAAAGTGAAATACAATTATTACAAATTTCCTGTACTTTCTTTTTGAAATCTAATCATTGGTATCATTTGAATTCTTGTATGTCTTTATGGTTGATTCATTAACTATATTTGAAGTTCAAGAAAAAAGAAATTAAGAATTAAACCCACATCTTGCCTCTTTAAATCATTCTTTGTCTTCAGAAAGGTAAGAGGGATTACTTATTGTCTTACTCATTTGTGAATGTGCATCATATTACCATCTCTGCTGAGTTGAGGGAGAACCATTCTTAGTCTCCTCTATCTATCTGAAGTGGCAATGTTTGAAGCTTGTATGTCATTGACTGCATTTGCTGACTCTGAGCAATTACTCTCCAGAATCTTTGTTTAATAACTGTTCTTTTTAAGGTGGTAATTAGGGGTTAAATGAAGTATATAATCTTCTCAAATAATATTTTATGTAAATATGATGTTTTAAACAGTGGTTGTTGTGTACTGTTGAATTGGAACCGACCCATAGCTGACCCTCCAGAGGGTTTTCAGAGGCAATAATCTGATGGGAGGCCATTGTCTATCCTTATCCCACAGAGCAACTAGTGGGTTTTGAACCGTGTACCTCTGGGATCACAGCACAGCTCCTTCCCTCTAGGCCACCAGAGCTCCCTTTAGACCATTAGTTTAAAGTTATGGCATTATAATTATACTTAATCCATAAAGTGTAATGGGACATTTTATGAACAATATAAAAAAGTTTCAGATTCTTTAGATGTTGTAAATGACTATTATAGATCAAAGGATTTTCTTGAAAAATTGAATAATTTGGAAGGAGAAAAATATAACCTGAAGGAAATTGGTAAACTATAAATATTTTTTAAGTGTTTCTTAGTATCTCATGTTTTTCGTTATTTTAATTTGGGTGGGTCATTGTCATTGTAACAAAATAATGCTTAAAAAATACAACTTAGCTCAAAAGTGGTTTTTTATTTTTCTATTCAGTCAAAGCTAATATGATGACTTTGCACTAGTTGGCTTTTGAATTATTACTTTTAAGAGTTTCCTTAATCTTTCCTGTGTATAAATTTATAAGAAAATCAGCGTTATTTACTGTAACTGTGCTGTAATTTGATCAAACATAAAATAGAATTTCTGACACTAGATTAATTATTTAGCATATATGTATTTTTAAATTAAACCTCGGAATACATTGCCAGATAGCTGTGTATATGATACAGTGTGACATGAGACTACCATTTGTAGGCGCATCTTTTAAAACTCTATGTTTCTGTGAGAACTGATTGTCATTTTCTTTTGAAGTTAGTTTAGTTTATCAAAGGAGACACTAAACCCTCTGAAAGATGGAAACCCAAAAATATTGTTACTGATATCACAAATCTATCATAAATATTAAGTTTATGCTGTCCTTTCCAGAGATCTAGCAACAATCAGTGTCACACTTGTCTCATATCCATATATCCAAAACAAAACTCACTTCCCCTCAAGCAATTTTGACTCACACTCATGCTCCGTTGGTTTTCCCAGGGTGTAAATCTTAACAGGAGCTTCTCATGTTTCTCTTTAGAAGCTGCTTTTGATCTGACTGTTGGAAACACAACACCTTTGGGTGAGCAGCACAACCAACATACTAGAGACTGTGCCAGCAGAACTTCTTATCACCTCTAAATACTATTTTAATTGAACAGATTACCAATTATGGTGGCTCAGTGGGTGAGCACTTGTGGTAGATGTGTTTCTGTAAAGTTGTGCAGACTTGGAAACAGCATTACTCTTCCATCAGGTTTCAGAAGCTCTGAATCTTTATGGGAGGAGAGTGCTCATTCTTTCCTAGGGAGCAGCTGGTAGATTAGAACAGCTGCCCACCAGCCCAGCATTATTGTAGTATGCCACCAGAGCTCCTTCTTTTTTTAGTACATTGGAAAATAGGAAGAGTAAGGTTGAGGCCCATTTTGGAAAGAAGACTAAAAAATCCCCAACTCCTTCATTTCTAGTTATAACAGACTCTAGCTGACCCTCCAGCAGGTTTTCCAAAATAATAAATTATACAGGAGAATGCCAGACTTTTCCCCTCAGCCTCACCCCTCAGAGGCACCACTTCTGGGTTTACAGTGCAACTCCCTACCAACGACACCATCACAGATCCCTTGTTGAAACAAAGCTGTTGTTATTATGTGCTGTCTAGTCTTCTAAGACTCATAGCAACCATGTGTACAAAACCTCTGAACCCTGTCCTATCCTGAGGCAGTCTCACTGTCTCTGACACACCTGCCCCCATTACCTCAGTCACTGTATCAATCCATCTTATCCAGTGTTTTCCTCTCCACACTTCCAAGCATGATGTCCTTCTCCAAAGGCTGCCCACTTCTGGTTACATGCCCCAAGTATGTGAGATGGAGTTTCAAAATCGTTTCCTCAAGGAGCAAACTGGCTTAACCCTCCTCAGGACATACCTGTTGTTCTCTTAGCAGTCCATGGTATGTTCAATACTATTCTCTAGCACTACAACTCAAAGGCATTCATTCTTCTTTGTCATCTTTATTCATTGTCCAGCTCTCTGATGCATAACAAGTAATTGCAAAGATCATTACCTGGATCAGGCACACCTTACTCTCTACACTGATATCTTTGCTCTTCAGCACTCTGGAGATGTCCCTGACAGTAGACATTCCTACTTTTTTGGTCTTTTGATTTCCGGTTGAGTGCCAAGAATGTTGACTGTGGATCTGAGCAAGCTGAAGTTGTTAACAATCTCAAACTCTTCTACATTTATCATGATGCTGCCATTTGGCCCAGTGGTAAGAATCTTTGCTTTCTTGATGTTGAGCTGCAATCCATATTGAATAATGCAGTCCTTGATTTTCAGAAGCTAACGGTTTAGGTCCTCCTCAATTTCGACAAGCAAGGTGTGTCATCTGCATAACGCAGGTTGTTAATGGGTCTTTCTCCAGGCCTGATGCCACATTCTTTCTCATAAGATCTTGCCTCTAAAAAGATCTGTTCTGCCTATAGATTGATAAGGTATAGAGAACAAGACATATATTCCTCATGCACTCCTTTCTTGATTTTGAACCTTGTGTTCTAGAATTACCATTTTTTTTCTCAATGTATTCCAGAGTTTGTTGTGATAACGCAATCAAACGCCTTTTTTATTATTATTAATTTTAATAGACATTTATAGCGGTTTTGGATTTCCATTCATTCATTGCCACACTTTTTTCCCTGCCACCCCTCCCTACCGGCTCGACCCCCCTTTGCTTTCAGCCAGTATTTGTTTGACATTGTCAGTGATGTCCCTAGTGCCACAACCTCTCCCTAAATCCAGCTTGTATTTCTGGCAATTCTTTGTCAGTGTACCATTACAGTTGTTTTTGGATAATTTTCTGCAGGATTTTGCTTGCATGTGATATTAATGATTGTTGTTGCTGTGTTGTTCAATGATTTCCACATTGTCTTGGCAATCCATGGAATGTTCCGTACTCTTCTCCAGAACCACAAGTCAAAGGCATCAATTCTTCTTTGTCATACTTAGTCATTGCTTAGCTCTCTGATATGCAGCAAATAATTGCAAAGACCATGGCATCACATGTTTTGTGAATGGGAATAAAATATGGAAATCTTCCAGTTGGCCAGATAGCTGTCCTCCAGATTTCTTGATACAAACTAGAGAGCACATCCAGGGCTGCATCTGTTTGTTCAAATATGTCACTTGGTATTCTGTTAGTTTCTGGGGCCTTATTTTTTCTCCCCAATTTGTTCAAAGCATCTTGAGTCCCGTTTTATCATCATTGCCTCTTAACTATAGGTTGTTTCATGAACTTCTTTGATGCTTCTTTGATCATTCAATATTCTCTCCATACATAATTAAGTATTGCAGCTTGAGGCTTGAATTTGTTCTTTTGTTCCTTCAGCTTAAGAACTGCCAAGCAAGTTTCTCCTTTTTTATTTTCTGACTCCAGCTTTTTCACATTTTATTACAGTATTTTGCTTTGTCTTCCTGAACTACCTTTTGAAGTCTTCTGCTCCTTAACTTCTTGATGTCTTCCCTTTCCTTTGGCTTCTTGGCACTCTAGTGCAATATCGAAGGTCTCTTCTGACTTCATTTTGGTCTTTACTTCCTCCTCTATCTTTGGTAGTGAACTTTTGCATTCTTCTTGGATAATATTCTTGATAGTCTCTCTCATTTCATCTGGTCTTTGTTCATTCATGTTCAAGGCATCAAACTTGCTTTTGTGATTTTTTTTTTTTTATTCAGGTGCGATAGACTCAAGGACCAATTTTGGTTCTTGTAAATTTGTTTTAATTTTTGTTAGCTTCAGTTTGAATTTACACAGGAGTAGTTGATGATCTGTTCCACAGTCAAAACCCTGGCCTAGTTTTCCCAGCTGATACTGAGTTTCTTCAGCAGTTCTTTCCCCAGTTGTAATCAGTGTGATTCCTGTGCATTCCAGCGGTTGAGCTTCATGTGTAGAGTCACCATTTCTGTGTTTTATAAAAGGTATTTGCAGTGAATAAATGATTGATTGTACAAAATTCTGTCATTCTATCTCCAGCCTCATTTATTACCTAGTCCGTAATTTCCAACTACTAGTCCTTTTTCCTTGTTCTCAACATTAGCATTCCAGTCACCAATTATTGTTATTAATGGATCTTGGTTGTGTGTTCAATTTCAGACTGCAAAAGTTACCACAAATCTTCTTTTTCCTCCTCTTTGTCTCTAGTTGTTGGTCTTTATATTG